AAGTCAAGATTCAAACCCAGATCCCCAAACTCCATTCTAGTCCTTTTCCCATTGTACTAAAGATCTTATGACATTCCAAATAGGTTAAGGCTAGTGTCTGTCCTTGGAGTGGGTCTTGGGAACAGGCATCAACTTTCCAGTGCCTCCTACTCCTAAGTATCTCTCTAATTTGCCTGCCAAGAGCAGTCAATCAACAAACTTGTATTAAGTACCTACTGTGTGCCGGGCTTCTTCTGTAAATGTTAGAGTTTATTAGTGATAGTATTGAGGCCTCACAGCAACATAACTGAGGGCCAGCCTTGGAGTCAGGAAGACCTAGGTTCAAATGCCTGACTGGGGCTAGCCATATGACTTGCCCTAGGCCAGTCGCTTAATCTCTTAGTGACCTCGGGTGATGCTAAGAGGGTATGAGGCAGGCAAGTTGCCAACTATATGCGTCAATGGAAGGGATTTCCATGCTAGGAGTGAAATCACAGATCCAGACCAAGACAGACAAAACAATTTCTGAGGGTATTACCATAAATTATATGATCTATTGACACTTGGGTGTGAATTAGTTGATTATCTTGCTGGGACAGAGCAGTGAAGGATTGGGTGTTTGGAGGGGAGATGGATGCTTTGGGAGCCCTAGGGATAAAGCATTGATTGGCCTGCCACTCACATCTATAGGACCTGGTGGGAACAGAGAGTGCTGGAGCACAGGAGAAATGGTGGAGGGGAAGGATGGGCTGATGCTTGAGCTGACTTGTGGCCTTGGTGTGACCAGCTCCCTCATGGGCTCCATCCTCAGAGGTAGAGCCTGCCTGGCTTGGACACATCCTTGAGCTCTTCTCTGGGAGCTCATTACCCTGGGAATCATTTTGTGATTGCAGTAGCTGGAGGTTGAGCTGAACAGCCAATGTCTGGGCCAAAGTGATTGCTTTGATCATCAAAATTACATGGGTAATTGTCACGATTCAGCAGCCTTGAGATCACCTTCAGAATATCTTTTTCTCACTGTTTTTGGTAACTGGAGATAGAGACTTCTGTGAAACTTGAAACAAGTGAAAAACTGTTGGTCGAAACCAATGGGAACTGGAATCTGGTTTGCGGGGGGACTGCATCTGCTGTCCAGGGGATTTTCAGCAATCTTCCTATGGCCCTATCAATAAAAGAAAAAAACCCATAAATTGTCATTGGCCACATGCTTCTAGAGGAAGATAAAGTCATGGCTTAATGTGACAGTGGAAAGATTCTTGAGAATAGAAGCCACGACCAGGATGGGAGTGTAGCTCATCCCACTGTCCACTGCATTGGTCAGACCAAACTAGGAACTTTGGGATCAGTTGTGAGCGCCACATTTTAGGAAAGATTCTGATGAGTTGAGAGGATGCCGTAGAGAACAAAAAGGATGGAGAAGACAGGGCTTGGAATCCTCCAGTGAGGAATGGGGGAAGGAGGTGGAACTGGCTAGCTTGGCCAAGAAAAGGCAACATGTTCTAATAAGGAGAGCTGTCCCAAAGGGGAATGGGCCCCTGCTGGAGAGTGTCCAGCAGGGGTCTGGAGGCCCCTGTGCTGAGTGTGCTGTCGCAGGGATGCCTTTTGAGGTCTAAGTGAGCCTGGACAGCCTCCAAGTGACCTGAAGTGGTGGGAATGAGAAACAATCCTGATTCAGGAGGAGCTCCATCTTCTCCCAGGAACCTCTCTGCAGGACTGTCTTCTACTTTCTTTCTTCTTGACCAGGTTTTTGTAATGGTTGCTATATCACCATGACACATGTGTCCTATCAACCCACTCCATTCTGTGGGTCCCGCCACCAGCATGTGATGGTGCTCACCTTCCCATACCCAGCCCGGACTGGTGGTTGGTGGGCCCTTTCATGGCAGAAGTGATGCAGAAGTGATGGAGAGATGCATCTGCTGAGCCTGGCCCATCCACAGGGGCATGGTTGGCCTGTGACAGTGAATAATGCCACATATTGTACATCTGCACTTCCTTCCCAGTGACAGTGGACCCAAGAAAATTACAGTTGCTTGTCTTTTAGAGGAAGTGGGGGAAAGCCTTCTACTGAATTGTTTTCATTTGAGACTGTGCTTCTCTTAGACCCAGCAGCCTAGCACGGCATCTTTGCTGCTGACTCATTTGGCGAATCTAGCAATAACATGTCTCCCTACCTCTACAAATATGGGGTAAAAAAAGGCCAGTCACTTAGCCTAGGACGAGGCTAATGGGATGTAATTCGTCTGCAGCTGATTCTCGCCCTTTGGTAGACACTGGCCTCAACATCTAGTCAATAAGCATTTGTTAAGAGCCTACTATGGTTTTTAAAAAAAAGAAGGAAAAAAGAGCCTACTACGTGCCAGGCTCTAGACATGCCACAAATGAACATAATCCTTGCCCTGAAGGCGCTTTTGGTCGCGCTCCTGGGGGTGCTGCAGATCAAGGGAGAGGCGAATGCAGGATGGCTTCCCAGGTGTAGGAGGGACCCCAGGTTGCAAGAAGGGTTGCAAAGATGAGGAGGGAGCCCGCTCTAGGAAGGGGGATGGCTTGTGAAAAATCAGAGAGCAGCTGGAAGGCCTAGGTCAGGACACAAACAGGTGTTTTGGGGAGGCTCGGTTTGAGTGGGGTGTGGAATGTACGAGTGGGAACAAAGAAAGGGGGAGCTGCCCAGGGAAGAGCTTTGAGGCCAGGCTGAGGAGTTTGTGTATTATCTAAAAGGCCATAGGGATCAGAGGATGATTTTGGCTGCTTGGTGGACGATGGATGGGTGGGGAGAGAGACGGGCCGTGTGTGATGAGGTATGGGGCTGGTGTAGGAGAAACGATGAGAGCCCTGACTAGAATGGGGGCTCCATTAGCTGGGGGGGCAGGTAACTAAGTTCTGTATGATTTATAACGTGTGTAAGATATTTGTAAGATGAGTGCTTTACAACACATTGCCATCATTCGTGTGAAGTCCAGCCGTGAACAGAGGGAGTGCCATCCCCCTCTGCTGCTACTGACCCTCTGTTTCTGCTCACTTCTGCCCCGACCCTACCCTGTTCCAAAATCCAGAATTACTGACCTCAGTTTTCCTTCAAAAACTGCGCTGCCTTCAGCGCTGATACGCCCCTCCCAGGGGCAGATTCCACAGTCAGCTATTAGGAAATGTTCATCTGTCTCTCTCGGGGTACATAGGGTGCCCAGGAATCAGCAGCACCTGGCCTACCTCCCCCGGCGTCCTGTCTTCGGGCTCCGCTTGTTCAAGGTTATGAGGGAGGGTGTGTTGGGTCAAAGGGAACCCTCTGCTCTGGTGCCTTCTCTAACACTCTCTGCCTTTCCCTTCTGTCTCTCCCCTCTCTTTCCCCCTTACCCTTCTCTGCCCCAGCTCCCCCTCTCCTCTTCCCATTGCCCCCTTTCTCCTCTCTTGCTCCCTCTTTCCTCCCCATCTCTCCCTTCTTCCCTCCTCTCCCCCTTTCTACCTCCTCTCTTCCCCTCTCTCTGTCTCCCTTTCCTCTTCCCTCTTCTCTCCTTCCCTCTCCCCCTCTCTACCTCTGTCTCCTCTTCCCCTCCCCTCCTCTCTCCCCCTCTTCCCATCTCTCTATCTCCCTTCCCTCTTCCCTCTTCTCTTCCTCTCCTCTCCCCTTCTCTCCCTGTCTTCCCTTCCTCTTTCTTCTTCCCTCCTCTCCCCCATCTCCTCTTTCCCTCTGTCTCCCCCTCTTCTCCACCTCCTTTCCCTTCTGTCACCCCTCTTCTCTCCTCACTCCCTCTCTCCTCCTCCCTTCCCCCTCAGTCCCCATCCTCCCTCTCATTTCCCCCCCCCCGTTCCTCCCTCCCTCTGATATGGGGGAGGCCAACTCCTTGACCCAGAACATAGACATTTCAGCCTAGGTGTTCTGCTAACAGGAGCTCCTTTTGAGCAGGTCTCGAGGCACTCAGAATCACCCAGGACACAGAAGCAGGGACACCCAAGTCATTGACCTCTCCTGAAAGCTGGCCTGTGGCACTGGCGGCTTGTGCTCCATCCAGGCTGGCCCCCTGGGGCACAGCAGCCTCCCTGGGCTAGGGCAGATCCTGGGTGAGGGACAAATGAAAGAGCCCCCAGTTCTCCGGACGTAAAGTATGAGTCCAGTGAATAGACCATAATTGTTTGGGATATTTATGAATTCTCCAATTCATGATATTCATGTAGGAACTTTTGGTTTTTGCTTTTAATAATTGTGCCCTCATTCTTTTTGACTCTTTTCTCCTCTAAATACTTCAAAGGATTTCTGTGGTTCTCTGGGATTATTGTTTTAGAGGTGGAAGTGACCTTGGAGGTCACTGAGTCTAAGCTGATCAAATGGTGGAAAGACCACTGAGTCTGGACTTCAGAGGACCTGAGTTCAAATTCCAAATCTAGTAATTCCTACTGGTGTGGCATTGGACAAGTTAAGTAACTTCCACAGGACTCAGTTTCCTCAAATGTTAAATGAGGGGTTTGAACTAGATGATCTCTGGGGTCCCTGTGATTCTCTAAATGCCCTCATTTTACAGATGAGCAAACTGAGGCCCAGCAAAATGGAAGTCACTTGCCCAGGGCCACAAGATAACCAAGGTAGGATTTGAACTCAGGTCCTCAGACTCCCAGATGATCATAGGATCTAAGAATTGGTGCTGGAAGGGGCCTTAGAGACCACTTAGTCCTGTCTCTCCTCGTTTTCCATAGGAGGAATCTTGAGGCCCAGAGACAGAAGTACCTTACCCAATGTCACACAGCTAGAATTGGAACCCAGAGCCCCTGATTCCAGATGCAGGGCTTTCCCCCCAAACTTAAACTGCTCCTTTAGAGGGAATAGGGGATGCTAAATCTGACCCCAGTTTCATTCTGGATGTTAAAAATGTCTTTCCAGCCCTAAGAAACCATAGTCCCCCAACTTCGGAGGAAGCCCATCCGGGTGGGCTTCCCAGCGGTTGTAGGCGTATTTACCTTTTTCTTCTCTCTTTGTTTTCTCTCCTCCCCTCGTCTCCCCTCCCTTTCCTCTCCCCAACCCCAAATTACAGCAAGATGATGAAGTGACAACCTTGCAAGTTAAAGAGGAAGATGGAACTGTCCTGGTATTCAAGAAGGTGTCGTCATGTGGGCCGGCCCCCACATCAGGGAGTGCCCACACTGATTGGAGGTGAGAGGCGTGGGGGTTTTTTTTTCCTCCAGCAGCAGACACACTCTGGCTGTTTGCCTTGCTCCGGCTGCCTCCTCCTCCTCCTCCTCCTCCTCCTCTCCGTTTGTCCGTCTCTCTCCGATTGTCTTCATCTCCCTCTCCCTCCCTCGCTCCCTATCTCCCTCCCTCCGTGTCTCCCTCCCTCCTCTCTTCTCTCCGCCTCTGGATCGTCCTAGCTGATTGCAGAGAGCCCCGAGCAGCCAGATGGACTGACTGCCTTATAGGGGAGACGGGGAGATGGCAAGAGATCTGAGCATCTAGGGAGGGGGAGATGCCTTTGTTACTAAGCAGGCACAATGGGGAGCTCCCGGCTGAGGGTCTTTGACCCGCACCTCGAGAGGAAGGACTCCGCCGCCCTCTCCGGCGGCCGAGAGCTGCCCTTGCCCACCTTTGATGTGCCTTATTTCAAATACATCGACGAGGAGGATGAGGAGGATGAGTGGAGTAGCCGCTCCCAGTCTTCCACAGAGGATGAGTGCTCAGACCCTCTCCTTTCTGACAGATACGTCGTGGTGTCGGGGACGCCAGAGAAGATTTTGGAGCACCTCCTGAATGACTTGCACCTGGAAGAAGTCCAGGACAAAGAAACAGGTAAGGTGGCGCCGTTACTTCCTGCTGGCGTGGGGAGCCCAGCTGATCGCATGCGTCTGTGGATGATCGCGGCTGCTGCCAAGCCAGGGCCAGTGCCAGTGTTAGCACGCGTGCCCAGCGCTGCCCTGGGGGGTTGGCGCTCCCCCGAGAGCTTGGGGGATGCGTTTGGTTTGGTTTGCTGCCCACCAGCTCTGCCCATGCCCTTTCCAGATGGAGGCTGGCCTGGGACAGGGCAGTGCCAAGATTTCCCAGCCATGGCAGGCTTGGCATTTCTCCCCCCGTTTAACCAAAGCCCACGTGAAGACAGGGGCCCAAGTCAGCTCCCAGTGTGAAACCTGAGGGGAAATATTCACCTGACTTGCAGAGAGTGCTGAGCCAGGGCAGAGATGCCCACAATTAATAAAACTGCTGGGGGGCAGCTTCTGCATCCTACAGATAAGTGGTTTGCAGACGAGTGGGGCAGAACAATCTCTATGGTGTAAGATATGGCACTCTTGACTTTTCACCTAGAAATTGTAATTCATTGGTGCCTGGAGGGATGACGATATTGATCAGGCGTCCTGGATGTCGACTTTAATCTCCTTGCTAAGTATACTTTGGCCTCCCTCTGTGCTCCTTCAGAGGAAAGACCATTTTGTTTTGTATTTTGTTTCTCAGTAGCTTGAGTGCTTTCTCTATGAACTGAGGCATCATGGTGCCCCTTTCTCTTGTGTCTCAGGCCAGAAGTTGACATGGCCTTCAGCCTGATTGATCAGGCCCCTTGATGGACACTTGCCTTATTGGCCCCAGTATTTGCCTGGCTTGCGGGCATTTTTTGGTCCCAGGGCCTCCTGTCTGTTGCTTCTCTAGACGCGGTATCTCAGACATACTGCTCCCTTACAGCTTCCATCAGAGAGCGGTTAGGCTGGTTTTATTGGGGCAGACGAACCCCAATTTCAAGTTTCCGATGTTGCGCGAGGGCTTCTGAAGTTCTTCAATGTGCTGGGAAGAGTTTCCTATGAATCCCAATGTTGGACCACAGTTGAAAAGTTGAGAAAGCCCTCAGCAGCTTTGGGGTCCAGCCCACATGCCCAAAGGTTCCATGGTATGTGACACCCAACAGGTCGTTTTTCATGCTCGGTGGCGCCTGGATGGGTTATACTGGGAAGGACCAACACAAGAATAGAGCTGTCATGGACAAACCCTCTGTGCGCCGAGAGAGTTACTGTTGGTAACTTAAATAGGATCCCAGGGTGAGAGATTTAGAGCAGGATGGGCCCTCAGAAGCCATCTAATCCAACCTCCTCATCTTTACAGAAAAGGAAACTGAGGCCCAGAGAGGAGGAGGAGCTTAGTCAGAGCTGGATCGCTGTAGGGGACCCCAGAGCTCCCTAGTCCAGCTTTCCCAGCTTAGGAAGGAGGAAGCTTTAGACCTTAGGAAGGCCTCAAGGTGAGAGAGAAATTAAGATCATAAATCTAGCACTGCAAAGGACCCCGGAGGCAGCCTAATACAAGTCCCTCACCTTACGGGAGGGGGAAACTGAGGTACAAGCAAAGTGACTTGGCCAAGGTCCCACAGTTATTAAATGGCAGAGAGGTTTGGGCCCAGTTGTCTGGCTGCAAATCCTGTCTCTTTCCACTCTGCCACAAGCCCAAGGAACCTAAGGGGGCTGTACCCTTCAGACTCTAAATCGGTGATGTTATGGTCCCTAATTGATGGTAAATAAATGACTTTGGTGCGGAGGTGTTAATAATGTACTTAGAGCTGGGAAGACAGGGCTCACATCCTGCTCTCAACACTTAGTAGCTGTGAGACGATGGTGAAATCACTATGTTCCTCTGGGCTTTACCTTCCCCATCTGCAAAATGGGCATGGTAGGTCTAGTCAACCTGCTTGCTAGAGTTATTGTGAGGACTTTAAGGTGCCATGAAAATGGGTGTTTTTTATTACTGGTCCCACTTGTGGTCACTCAGGACAAATGAAAAGTCCCAAGTCCTACTGAAATAGGGTCCATGCATTGCTTTGTGTACTCCTGTATTAATATTTTGTGCCCTCAAAACCATCTGAATATTCTGCTTTCTCAGGCCAGAGTCCACCAGGGCTAGGGAGGATGTTAGTTGAGGCAGGCTGCACTTCACGCGTGGCCCAGACTGAGGCCTCTGGCAAAGCTTTGTGCTTGGGGGCCCGGACATGTTGGGGCATCTGGTTCCACGGCAGTGAAGGCTAGGGTGCTTTACCCATGCACCACTGAAGGGCCCAGCTCCAGTGGCAGGCTTTGCTCAAGCGTACTGAAATGCTGACTTGTGACCAGTGTGATTGGACAAATATTTGGCTACTTCTGCAAAGCACCGTATTGGTGCTGGGGGCACAAAGATAGAGATGTGGTCCCTGCCTTCAGGGAGCTTGCATTCTGCTGCACAGAGACAAATCACAACTGTGTGAGGCTGGAGAGAGCATCAAAGCACCAGAAAAGGCTTCCACTGGAGGTGGGTGTGAAGGAGATGAGGGGTGCTAATTGGCCAGACTACGAACAAGCCTTCAGCGCTCACTGTGGGCCAGGCCTGGGCCCAACATTGAGGGTCTCAATCTCCAAGAATTTATTAAGCACCTGCTGTGTCCGGGGCACTGTTCAAGGCTGGGGACAAAAACCAACATGAAGTAGTCCCTGCCTTCAAGGAACATACGTTCTATAGGAGGGATACAACGTACGCAGAATGAGGCAAGGGCTAGTGGATGGGCATTGGGCTTGGTGAAGGTGAGCCATCCCACCTCAGACGCTGACGAGCTGTGTGACCCCAGGGAAGCCACCCGACTTTTCTGTGCCTCGCTTTCCTCATATGTAAAACTAGGGGACCGAACCTGCTGGTCTCTTCCAGCTCTCAATCTGAGCTCCTATGATTATGTGAGGAAGTGTTTTTGTTTCTCTTCCTCTGAGATAGATCCAAGGACTTGTTCATATCTTTCTACTATTTAAAAACCAGAATGATTGTCCTTCAAGGCCGGCACCGGTGTTGTTTGGGAGCTTTCTCTGGTCTTCCCCAATCATGGCAACTCTGGGATTCAATAAGTCACTTCAACCACATGCCCAGGCCACAAGACCCAAACAGCTCTCAGCCCCCGAGTCTGGAACTCCTCATGTCACAGGACAAAAGAAGGTTGGGGTAGGAAAGTCAACAAGCATTTATTGAGCACCGACAATGTGCCAGGCACTGGGGATTCAAAGGCAAAAATCAGTCCCTGCCCTGCAGGAGCTCCCAGGCTGATGGGAGCCATTGCAAGCTCTTAATAAGCAATGGGTGATTGATTGGTTTCCTCGTTGCTTAGAACAGTGCCTGGTGTACACACAAGCACTTAAAAAAGGCTTTTTGATGGAGAGATTGAGTAGAATCCCTGGCTTCTCCTGGTAACCCAAGTTCTTTGTACTTTCCCTCTCCTCACATAATCATGTCACACTTAGCATGTGATCAAGGCAGCCGGGTGGCTCAGTGGATAGAGCACTGGGCTTGGAGTCAGGAAGACCTGGCTTCAAATCCAGCCTCAGAAACTTCCTAGCTGTGTGACCTTGGGCAAGTCACTTAACCTCTATTTGCCTCAGTTTGTATACAATGGGGATAATATTAGCACTTACTTCCCAGGGGTGTTGCGAAGATCAAATGAGCCTGGCACACAGTAGGTGCTATAGAAGTATTAGCTATCATCATCATCCTTATCCTCCCCCTCCTTTTCATCTGCAGCGCAAGCAACATTCTGTACCTCTAGGCTCCCATTTCCCTACTGAGAGAAGAGATCTTTCCTCCTCTGTGACCAAGGCTGGTCCGTTGCAGTTTACTAGGGTTCCCCTGCCTCTGAGTGTTATTTCTGCATTGCAGCCACTGTGTATTTGTTCCCCTGGTTCAGCTTCCTTGACCTTGCATCACTTCATGGAAATTTGGCTGAGGTTTCCTGGATTACTCGTATTTATCGTTTGTTAGGAAGCAGAATTCATTATTCTATTATATTCATGCACTACAGTTTATTTGGCCATTCCCCAAACAATGGGTACCCACATACTTCCTTTTTATTTTTTTGCTAACCCCCAAAGTTCTACTACTATGACTATTTTGTAAACACTAGGCCTTTCTTTCTGTCTGTGACCACATTAAGCTAGATGCTCAGTGATAAGACCTCTGAGTCAGAAATTTCAATGAGTTTTCTTCTGTAGGTCCAAAGAGCCCTTTGGAAAGTTTGGACAGTTCCTCCAATGGTTTATTGGCATGTCTGGCTTCTTAGCCACCACCCTACATCTGAGGAGAATATAGAAAGTCAAAGGGGAAAAGTAATGTATTTGCTATTTTTTTCTGGATTGAAAAGCAGTAAAAGCCTTTGGAACAGGCATCTCTAATCTTTGGCCCTAGGATCATGGAGAACTTTTGCCTCTTTTATTCATTGTAATAAATGAATTAGGGAATGACACTTTGAACTTTGAGAATACTGAAGACATTTGATGACCCTGAATTCGGGCTATCATTCCTAACCCAGAGGGAGCTGCAGATGTTGTGGGAGACACCTGGGAGGCAGATGACAAGGGGCTGTAATCCAAACATCCAAGGGCACTTTTTGGCATTCAAAGCCCCTTTTGAAGGAAGGTAATCCCCACCTTCTGGAAGACAACCACATGGTTCTTAGCGCAGTCCCATATGTTTGGCATGGGGGCAATGGATGAGTCCCCAAATGGAATGGAGCAGTAAGGACACTTCTGTCCACGCAGGCTCCTCCATCCCTGGAGCCCAAGGACAAATAACATGGGAAGAGACCAGTGTCCCCTCTTCTCTCTCTCTCCTCTCCAGGCAGTTTAAGAGATGAAAAGGTGGTGGGGTAAACCATCAGAGAAGCATGTTCACCACCTGGTAACTAGTGCCTCCCTGGGGAAGGGGAAATCTGACTGACCCAGTGAGGGGCCTTGATGGGATTGCCAGATACTGTAGTGACAGAAGAACTGGTGACACTCATATAAGAAATGTCCCTCACTGCCTGCAGTAAA